TGTCCCCTCACTGTCCCCTCAGTGTCCCCGACTGGCACATCGTGGACGTGGAGGTGACAGCGGTGGCCGAGGGTGGCCGCGCCCTGACTGTCACCAGCAGCCGCCGCAACCCCGCGGGGCCCGGCGATGTCACCGGCAGTGCCACCCGCCACAGCTTCTGGAGCAGCGTGCAGGGTGTGTCATTGTCACCTGTGTCACTGTCACCTGTGTCACTGTCACCTGTGCCACCTCAGTGCCCCCAATGCCCCCTCGCTCACTCTGTCCCCTCCCCGCAGCCTGCACCGGACACGGAGGCTGCGTCAAGCTCTGCTGAGCCGGAAACACCGCCGAGGACACCTCGGGGACATCTTGGGGACACTTTGGGGACATTTTGAGGACAATAAAACCCTGCCAGCATTGGTGGTGACCTTCTTGTCATGGCGGCGGGGAGAGGACGTGATCTGATTGGTGGAAACGCCGCGCGGGGCACGACGGGAGGAAGGGTGCTCACCTCTGATTGGTCAGGGCGGGGCGCAAAGCATTAAGGGAGGGAGGTCGAAGCGCTGATTGGATAGCGCCGCGCGCGGGGCACGATGGGGAGGAAGGGTGCTCACCTCTGATTGGTCAAGGCGACGCAAAGCACGACGGGAGTTGTAGTTGCGGCCTGAGGGGGCAGAGGCCGCCATGGCCCCGGAGGACGCGGGGGGTGAGAAGGGAGAGGCCGGGGCCGGATTTTGGGGGGTCCTGAGGGGTCTTGAGGGGGGCAGGAAGGGCTCGGGGAGGTTTTGGGGGGACAGGAGCGGGTTTGGTGGGGGGAGGGAGGCGGAGGCCGCACCCAGGGCCCTTAAGGCGGGGAAGGGCTGGGTAGGCCTGGGGGGAGTTTGGAAGGGTCCTGGGGGGGATTTGAAGGAATTTGGGGTCTGGAGTAACTTTTGGGGGCATCAGGAATTTGGGTCTGGGGTCTCGAGGAGGATTTGAGGGAACTGGGAGAGTCCTGAAGGGCTCTGGGAGGGATTTTTGTGGGAATTTGGGGGGGATTTTGATGGAATTTGGGGGGTCTGGAGTAACTTTGGAGTCTCCTTAAATTTGAGTCTGGGGTCTTAGGGTAGATTTGAGAGAATTTGAGGTAAATTTTGGGGGTCCTGGGGGGGATTTTTTGGGAGGATTTGGGGGGAATTTGAGGGTCTCAGGAGCTCCTTTCACCCCCTCTCCCAACCCGGATTTGGAGGGGGTCTCCCCGAATTTGGGTCTGGGGTCTCGGGGTAGATTTGAGAGAATTTAGGGGGAATTCTGGGGGGTCTCTGGGAGGGATTTCGGGGGTCTTGGGAGGGATTTGAAGGGAATTTGAGGGAATTTTGGGGGGGGATTTGAGGGACTTTGGAGGGTCTGGAGCAACTCTGAGTGCGTCAGGAATTTGGGTCTGGGGTCTCAGGGTAGATCTGAGATAATTTGGGGTAAATTTTGGGGGTCCCACCAGCTCATCCCCCCCCCCTCCCCTCTCTCTCTCCTCACAGCCCCCCAAACCTCCCCCTCCCCCAGCCCGGAGGAGGTGTCGGAGGTGTCGGATTTGGGTCGGGGTCTCCCCGGAATTGGGTCGGGGGTCCCGGGGGGGGGCCTGTACCACGAGCGGCAGCGCCTGGAGCTCTGTGCCCTGCACGCCCTCAACAACCTCCTGCAGCGGCCCTGGCTCAGCAAGGCCGCGGCCGACGGCATCTGCCAGCGGTGAGACCCCAGACCCAATTCGGGGAGGGGTCCTGGGGGCGTCTGGGGGGGTGGGGAGGGGTCCTGGAGGG